TAGTTCTTTTTGTAACTATGTACTGTTTTCACCTAGTTGTGCTTACGGGGGGTTGAACGCTGCTCTTTTGTCTCGACTGTCAATCAACTGTTACTAACTACTATTTGCGCACGCACGCGCGCACACACGCACGCGCACACGCGCACACACGCACACGTGGTTATCTGGTTATCAGGTGGTTATCATGTCCTATCGAGTCCTAAAATCAATTTCAAGCGCAGTTAAAAGCTCTGGACCTCAAGGGTACAGTCCTTGCACCACTGATGTTTATATCTGATATGAGAATAAGAGACTCAAATACAAGTCACAGATTCGTATCATCCTTTGCAGATGACACAAAAATTAACACGAAAATTACTTCTGTTGAAGACATTATTAATATCTGCTTGTAATTTCTCAAAGTTTTCGATTAGGTAGCAGATAATAATACGATGTTTAACAGTGACAAATTCCAGGTACTCAGGTACCGTAAAAATGAGGACCTTAAACATAATACAAGGTACAAAACACAATCAAATCTGCCCACAGTAGGAAAACAGCATGTAAGCAACAGCCTGGTAGACCAAATCCCTCTCTCGTTAAGCCTGGCCTCGGGCCGGGCTTGGGGGTAGAAGAACTCCCAGAACCCCATCAACCAGGGTGTTGAACGGCTCTGGATCCCAGAAGTTAAGAGTGTTCTCTGATTGTGCCTATAGCACCCCTGCTCCTCGCTGGTTCTATTCTGCATTTCCTTCCATATCTTCGCTCTAGTATGTTGTTATTCTACTGTGCATAATTGGGACATGGTCTTCCAGTATCTCCCACGTACTCACTCAGTTGTGCGTGCGGGAGTTAAGTTTCGGCTCTTGGATCCCGCCTCTCAACTGGCAATCAACTGGAGTTCAGATTCTGGAGCCTATTGGGATCTATCATATCTACATTTGAAACTGTGTATGTGCCTTGAAACTGTGTATGTGCCTTGAAACTGTGTATGATTAAGCAGTGATGTGCCTCCACCACATTACTGCTTAATCATTCCATTTGTTAACTACTAAAACTGAAAAAGTTCCTTCTAACGTCCCTGTGTTTCATTTGGGGACACAGTTTTCACCTGTGTCCCCTCGTTGGCGTACCACCCGTACTAAATTATTTATCATTATCTACCCTGCCAATTCCCCTGAAAATTTTATCGGTGGTGATCATGTATCCCCTTACTCTTCTGTCTTCGTGTTGTGAGGTTTAGTTCCAGCAATCTTTTCCTCGTAGCTTTCCTCAATATTTCCTTAGGGACTAGCCTGGTGGCATACATCTGAACCTTTTCTAACTTCGCTATGTGTTTGACTAGATATGGACTCCACGCTGAAGCCGCATACTCCAGCATTGGTCTGACATATAAGATATGTATATATTATTTGATTCCTCTCTCGTCTCCTCTCCAGAGAGATGACGACAATTTGAGAGCTTCGAGATGGTACCAATAATTTAGGCGTTTCATCTTGGCTATGCGTGCAGAATATGTTCTCTGTATTCCCGTTATTTGAGATCTCTCTCCCCTGCTCTGAAAGAAGGGAATACTGAGCAGTACTCAAGACGGGACTGCACAAGTGATTTAAATAGTATTAGCAGGGGGCCGAGCGGACAGCACGCTGGCGATCCTGTGGTCCCGGGTTCGATCCCGGGCGCCGGCGAGAAACAATGGGCAGAGTTTCTTTCACCCTATGCCCCTGTTACCTAGCAGTAAAATAGGTGCCTGGGTGTTAGTCAGTTGTCAAGGGCTACTTCCTGGGGATGGAGGCCTGGTCGAGGACCGGGCCGCGGGGACACTAAAGCCCCGAAATCATCTCAAGATAACCATCTCAAGAAGCATTCATGTGGGGTCTGGATTTAACCGTTCACATAATCCCTCCAATCATTTTTCATGCTTACGCTATACTTGCTTGGTTATGCTCCCAAAACGTTAGGTCATTAGATATCAAACAGATATCGAAGAAATAGAGCAAACGCAGAAACAATCATTCGAGTCTGAGGAAATGAAATTGGAACTGAAATCTATACAGGAGATAAAGAAAAATCCAAAATGCAGGCGATGAGTCACAATAACGTGGCCGAAGTATGTTGACCAGACCACACACTATAAATTGAAGGGACGACGACGTTTCGGTCCGTCCTGGACCATTCTCAAGTCGATTGATATATATATCGACTTGAGAATGGTCCAGGACGGACCGAAACGTCGTCGTCCCTTCAATTTCTATTGTGTGGTCTGGTCAAAATCCAAAATATTTTTTCACACATGCAAAATTAAAACCCTCCACCAGAATCTGGAGAGGGTTCTGGGAGTTCTACTCCCAGGGAGTACTGATACACACACACACACATTTATATATATATATATATACTGCGCACTGCATCCAGGGTTCCTGCCCGCCATCTGAGGAGCTGGAGGAACTCGACAACCTATGATAACCATCTTTGTAACCCATATGTAACTCCTTTTTTGTAACAAAGTTCAAATAAAGTAAATATATATGTGTACATACAAAAGAATGGGGGTGGTAGGAGAAGATAATATTAGTGTTCAGTGAGAAACCACAAGGTGTCCTCTGAATACTTTTTATTTTCTTCTCCGAGGCTATGGGTCACCACATTGGCACCAGAGGTGGTACCCTCACAAACTTAAAAAAAAAAAAAAAATATATATATATATATATATATATATATATATATATATATATATATATATATATATATATATATATATATATATATATATATGTCGTACTTAGTAGCCAGAACGCACTTCTCAGCCTACTATGCAAGGCCCGATTTGCCTAATAAGCCAAATTTTCCTGAGTTAATATATTTTTTCTAATTTTTTTCTTATGAAATGATAACGCTACCCATTTCATTATGTATGAGTTAATTTTTTTTTTATTGGAGTTAAAATTAACGTAGATATATGACCGAACCTAACCAACCCTACCTAACCTATCTTTATAGGTTAGGTTAGGTAGCCGAAAAAGTTAGGTTAGGTTAGGTTAGGTTAGGTAGGTTAGGTAGTCTTAAAACTATTAATTCATGAAAACTTGGCTTATTAGGCAAATCGGGCCTTGCATTGTAGGCAGAAAAGTGCGTTCTGGCTACTAGGTACGACATATTATTATATATATATATATATATATATATATATATATATATATATATATATATATATATATATATATATATTATATATATATATATATATATATATATATATATATATATATATATATATATATATATATATATATATATATATATATATATATATATATATATATATATATATATATATATATATATATATATATTTATATATATATATATATATTTATATATATATATATACCTCTAGCTGGAAGAAGGGGGACCCATAGCCTCGGAGGAAACCACGCATAACGCATTAGAGGGAATGTTTTTGTATCAACCCATGTATATCTTGTAACCATCAAATGCATAATAAAGCACAAAAAATATTCAAGGAAGGGGGTGGTAGGTATATATATATATATTTATATATATATATATATATTTATATATATATATATATATATATATATATATATATATATATATATATATATATATATATATTTATATATATATTTATATATATATATATATATATATATATATATATTTATATATATATATTTATATATATATATTTATATATATATATTATATATATATATATATATATATATATATATATATATATATATATATATATATATATATATATATATATATTTTCTATAGACATCCATGTGCTGGAATACATGTAGAGACCCGAACACACATACCGTGTCAGCAAGGCGGACAGTCCGCTTATCTCAATTCATACTATACTTCCCATTTCCAAGCTTGTTTATTCGCCCGTACCTCTCCATCCTCTTTACTCCCACACACACGTAACAATAATCCTCCAGCATTCACCTCTAATTGTTTTACTTTATCGTGGGCATAATATCCCCCCCCCCCCCCGCTACCTGGAAAACTTTATCTAGTTTCTAGAAATCTAGAAAGTTATTTAGAAAACTGTAAACCTTTATCACCTGGCTATCTTGAGATGATTTCGGGGCTTAGCGTCCCCCGCGGCCCGGTCCTCGACCAGGCCTTCTTTTTCTTACACACCCCCAGGAAGCAGCCCGTAGCAGCTGTCTAACTCCCAGGTACCTATTTACTGCTAGGTAACAGAAGCATCAGGGTAAAAGAAACATTTTGCACATTTGTCTCCGCCTCCACCGGGGATCGAACCCGGGACCTCAGGACTACGAATCCGAAGCGCTGCTCACCCAGCTGTCAGGCGGCCAGAAGTGGCCCTTAAGAATACAGAAGAATACAGAGAACATATACGACACACAGACGAGATAAAGCCCCTAAATTATTGGGATCGTCTCAAAGCTCTCCAAATGTACTCACAAGAAAGAAGACGAGAGAGATATCAAATAATATACACCTGGAAAATACTGGAGGGTCAGGTCCCAAATCTACACAGTAAAATAACAACGTACTGGAGTGAACGACATGGAAGAAAATGCAGAATAGAACCAGTGAAGAGCAGAGGTGCCATAGGCACAATCAGAGAACACTGTATAAACATCAGAGGTCCGCGGTTGTTCAACGTCCTCCCAGCAAGCATAAGAAATATTGCCGGAACAACCGTGGACATCTTCAAGAGGAAACTAGATTTATTCCTCCAAGGAGTGCCGGACCAACCGGGCTGTGGTGGGTATGTGGGCCTGCGGGCCGCTCCAAGCAACAGCCTGGTGGACCAAACTCTCACAAGCCTGGCCTCGGGCCGGGCTTGGGGAGTAGAAGAACTCCCAGAACCCCATCAACCAGGTATCAACCAGGCCCCGGAGTGACTGGAGAACACAGGAGGAGCGGCAGCACCACGGCACCAAGATGGCTCACCATCCACCACACCTCACTCTTGCCTTTTAATACCTGAACATTAAAATACTTTACCCGTTATGGTCCCTCCACACAACTCCAGGTCAGTGTGGAGGCTACAGCACCGAGCCCACGCTACAGCACCGTGCCCACGCTACAGCACCGTGCCCACGCTACAGCACCGTGCCCACGCTACAGCACCGTACCCACCCTACAGCACCGTGCCCACGCTACAGCACCGTGCCCCACCCTACAGCACCGAGCCCACGCTACAGCACCGTGCCCACCCTACAGCACCGTGCCCACCCTACAGCACCGTGCCCACGCTACAGCACCGTGCCCACGCTACAGCACCGTGCCCACGCTACAGCACCGTGCCCACGCTACAGCACCGTGCCCACGCTACAGCACCGTGCCCACCCTACAGCACCGTGCCCCACCCTACAGCACCGAGCCCACGCTACAGCACCGTGCCCACCCTACAGCACCGTGCCCACCCTACAGCACCGTGCCCACCCTACAGCACCGTGCCCACCCTACAGCACCGTGCCCACCCTACAGCACCGTGCCCCACCCTACAGCACCGTGCCCCACCCTACAGCACCGTGCCCCACCCTACAGCACCGTGCTACCCACCCTACAGCACCGTGCCCCACCCTACAGCACCGTGCCCACCCTACAGCACCGTGCCCACCCTACAGCACCGTGCCCCACCCTACAGCACCGTGCCCCACCCTACAGCACCGTGCCCCACCCTACAGCACCGTGCCCCACCCTACAGCACCGTGCCCCACCCTACAGCACCGTGCCCCACCCTACAGCACCGTGCCCCACCCTACAGCACCGTGCCCCACCCTACAGCACCGTGCCCCACCCTACAGCACCGTGCCCCACCCTACAGCACCGTGCCCCACCCTACAGCACCGTGCCCCACCCTACAGCACCGTGCCCCACCCTACAGCACCGTGCCCACCCTACAGCACCGTGCCCACCCTACAGCACCGTGCCCACCCTACAGCACCGTGCCCACCCTACAGCACCGTGCCCCACCCTACAGCACCGTGCCCCACCCTACAGCACCGTGCCCACGCTACAGCACCGAGCCCACGCTACAGCACCGTGCCCACCCTACAGCACCGTGCCCACCCTACAGCACCGTGCCCACCCTACAGCACCGTGCCCACCCTACAGCACCGTGCCCCACCCTACAGCACCGTGCCCCACCCTACAGCACCGTGCCCCACCCTACAGCACCGTGCCCCACCCTACAGCACCGTGCCCCACCCTACAGCACCGTGCCCCACCCTACAGCACCGTGCCCCACCCTACAGCACCGTGCCCCACCCTACAGCACCGTGCCCACCCTACAGCACCGTGCCCACCGTGGCTACAGCACCGTGTATGGCACCTCTGCTCTTCACAGGTTCAATCTTGCATTTTCTTCCATACCGTTCACTCCAGTACGTTGTTATTTTACTGTGTAGATTTGGGACCTGACCCTCCAGTATTTTCCATGTGTATATTATTTGGTATCTCTCTCGTCTCCTTTCTAGAGAGTACATTTGGAGAGCTTTGAGACGATCCCAATAATTTAGGTGTTTTATCGCGTCTATGCGTGCCGTATATGTTCTCTGTATTCCCTCTATTTCAGCAATCTCTCCTGCTCTGAAGGGGGAAGTGAGTACTGAGCAGTACTCGAGACGGGACAACACAAGTGACTTGAAGAGTACAACCATTGTGATGGGATCCCTGGATTTGAAAGTTCTCGTAATCCATCCGATCATTTTTCTGGCTGACGCGATATTTGCTTGGTTATGCTCCCTAAACGTTAGATCGTCGGACATCATTATTCCCAAATCCTTGACATGCTGTTTTTTCTACTATGGGAAGATTCGATTGTGTTTTGTACCCTGTATTATGTTTCAGATCCTCATTTTTGCCGTACCTGAGTACCTGAAATTTATCACTGTTAAACATCATGTTATTTTCTGCTGCCCAATCAAAAACTTTGTTGACATCTGCTTGTAGTTTTTCAATGTCTTCAGCAGAGGTAATTTTCATGCTGATTTTTGTGTCATCTGCAAAGGACGACACGAAGCTGTGGCGTGTATTTTTGTCTATATCAGATATGAGAATAAGGAACAGTAGCGGTGCAAGGACTGTACCTTGAGGTACAGAGCTTTTAACATCGCTTGGACTCGATTTTATCTGATTGACTGTTACTCTTTGTGTTCTGTTCGACAGGAAATTGAATATCCAGCGTCCAACTTTTCCAGTTATTCCCATTGACCTCATTTTGTGAGCTATCACCCCCATGGTCACATTTGTCGAACGCCTTTGCAAAGTCTGTGTATACAACATCTGCATTTTGCTTTTCTTCTAGGGCTTCTGTGATTTTGTCATAGTGGGTGAGTAACTGTGACAGACAGGATCTTCCCGCTCTAAATCCATGTTGTCCTGGATTGTGCAATTCATTGTTTTCCATAAAACTAGAAATTTGATTCCTAATCACTCTTTCAACCCTACAGCACCGTGCCCACGCTACAGCACCGTGCCCACGCTACAGCACCGTGCCCACGCTACAGCACCGTGCCCCACGCTACAGCACCGTGCCCCACCCTACAGCACCGTGCCCACGCTACAGCACCGTGCCCCACGCTACAGCACCGTGCCCACGCTACAGCACCGTGCCCACGCTACAGCACCGTGCCCACCCTACAGCACCGTGCCCACGCTACAGCACCGTGCCCACCCTACAGCACCGTGCCCACGCTACAGCACCGTGCCCACGCTACAGCACCGTGCCCACGCTACAGCACCGTGCCCACGCTACAGCACCGTGCCCACGCTACAGCACCGTGCCCACGCTACAGCACCGTGCCCACGCTACAGCACCGTGCCCACGCTACAGCACCGTGCCCACGCTACAGCACCGTGCCCCACCCTACAGCACCGTGCCCACCCTACAGCACCGTGCCCACCCTACAGCACCGTGCCCACCCTACAGCACCGTGCCCACCCTACAGCACCGTGCCCACCCTACAGCACCGTGCCCCACCCTACAGCACCGTGCCCCACCCTACAGCACCGTGCCCCACCCTACAGCACCGTGCCCCACCCTACAGCACCGTGCCCCACCCTACAGCACCGTGCCCACCCTACAGCACCGTGCCCCACCCTACAGCACCGTGCCCCACCCTACAGCACCGTGCCCCACCCTACAGCACCGTGCCCACCCTACAGCACCGTGCCCACCCTACAGCACCGTGCCCCACCCTACAGCACCGTGCCCCACCCTACAGCACCGTGCCCCACCCTACAGCACCGTGCCCCACCCTACAGCACCGTGCCCCACCCTACAGCACCGTGCCCCACCCTACAGCACCGTGCCCCACCCTACAGCACCGTGCCCCACCCTACAGCACCGTGCCCCACCCTACAGCACCGTGCCCCACCCTACAGCACCGTGCCCACCCTACAGCACCGTGCCCACCCTACAGCACCGTGCCCACCCTACAGCACCGTGCCCACCCTACAGCACCGTGCCCCACCCTACAGCACCGTGCCCACCCTACAGCACCGTGCCACGCTACAGCACCGAGCCCACGCTACAGCACCGTGCCCACCCTACAGCACCGTGCCCACCCTACAGCACCGTGCCCACCCTACAGCACCGTGCCCACCCTACAGCACCGTGCCCCACCCTACAGCACCGTGCCCCACCCTACAGCACCGTGCCCCACCCTACAGCACCGTGCCCCACCCTACAGCACCGTGCCCCACCCTACAGCACCGTGCCCCACCCAACAGCACCGTGCCCACCCTACAGCACCGTGCCCCACGCTACAGCACCGTGCCCACCCTACAGCACCGTGCCCACGCTACAGCACCGTGCCCACGCTACAGCACCGTGCCCACGCTACAGCACTGAGCCCACGCTACAGCACCGTGCCCCACCCTACAGCACCGTGCCCACCCTACAGCACCGTGCCCCACGCTACAGCACCGTGCCCACCCTACAGCACCGTGCCCACGCTACAGCACCGTGCCCACGCTACAGTGATGGATGACGTCTGAACCCTTATCTCGTCTATACGGCATACATAGACGCGATAAAACACCTAAATTATTGGGATCGTCTCAAAGCTCTCCAAATGTACTCACTAGAAAGGAGACGAGAGAGATACCAAATAATATACACCTGGAAAATACTAGAGGGCCAGGTCCCAGATCTGCACAGTAAAATAACAACGTACTGGAGTGAACATATGGAAGAAAATGCAGAATAGAACCAGTGAAGAGCAGAGGTGCCATAGGCACAATCAGAGAACACTGTATAAACATCAGAGGTCCGCGGTTGTTTAACGTCCTCCCAGCGAACACCCAGGCTACAGCTCCATGGCTACAGCACCGAGGCTACAGCACCGAGGCTACAGCACCGAGGCTACAGCACCGAGGCTACAGCACCCAGGTTACAGCACCGAGGCTACAGCACCCAGGTTACAGCACCGAGGCTACAGCACCGAGGCTACAGCACCCAGGCTACAGCACCGAGGCTACAGCACCCAGGCTACAGCACCGAGGCTACAGCACCCAGGCTTCAGCACCCAGGCTTCAGCACCCAGGCTTCAGCACCCAGGCTACAGCACCCAGGCTACAGCACCCAGGCTACAGCACCGAGGCTTCAGCACCCAGGCTACAGCACCCAGGCTACAGCACCCAGGCTACAGCACCCAGAGGCTACAGCACCCAGAGGCTACAGCACCGAGGCTACAGCACCGAGGCTACAGCACCCAGGCTACAGCACCCAAGCTACAGCACCCAGGACACAGCACCCAGGCTACAGCACCCAGAGGCTACAGCACCCAGAGGCTACAGCACCCAGAGGCTACAGCACCCAGAGGCTACAGCACCCAGAGGCTACAGCACCCAGAGGCTACAGCACCCAGAGGCTACAGCACCCAGAGGCTACAGCACCCAGAGGCTACAGCACCCAGAGGCTACAGCACCCAGAGGCTACAGCACCCAGAGGCTACAGCACCCAGGCTACAGCACCCAGGCTACAGCACCCACAGCACGAGCATGATGACAAAAGGAGGAAGGTGAGGGCGTTGAGGATGTTAGGAGGCGGGAACCTCTCCCCTACACCCTCCTCCACCAGCTGGTAGCTCTCGTCTCCTCCACCAGCTGGCAGCTCTCGTCTCCTCCACCAGCTGGCAGCTCTCGTCTCCTCCACCAGCTGGCAGCTCCCGTCTCCTCCACCAGCTGGCAGCTCCCGTCTCCTCCACCAGCTGGCAGCTCCCGTCTCCTCCACCAGCTGGCAGCTCCCGTCTCCTCCACCAGCTGGCAGCTCCCGTCTCCTCCACCAGCTGGCAGCTCCCGTCTCCTCCACCAGCTGGCAGCTCTCGTCTCCTCCACCAGCTGGCAGCTCCCGTCTCCTCCACCAGCTGGCAGCTCCCGTCTCCTCCACCAGCTGGCAGCTCTCGTCTCCTCCACCAGCTGGCAGCTCCCGTCTCCTCCACCAGCTGGCAGCTCCCGTCTCCAGTACTATAATACAACTTTTGAACTTACCTCCTCCAAGTCGTTGACTGTCTGCCTACAAAGAGGCATTTTGGAGACGAAATTGCTGGTTGGAGGCGAAGAAATGTCATCTTTGACCTCGCTGATGTAGTCGTTAACAGTAATGAACTCCGGCATGGTGCCTGGCACAGGCAATCAGCCGCCTTTCACAAGAAAGAAGAAATTCCACTGGAGCACAACTAGCGAACGTCTACACTCCGTCACTGCCTCACGAACACTGGTGTTGTGACGCAGATGGCAGCACGTGCAAACAGGGTGGAAACTCCTCCCTGCGCATGCGCCAACCCGAGCCGCCAAACATGAAAACAAATTATCTTGATTTTATTTGTACTTAAAATAAGTAGCAATAACACATCGCTGCAACTCACTTCCAATTAATAGTATTGAAATCTCACACGCTATCGATATGTGTCCACAAGCATGCCATAAGTTATGTAGAAGAATCTGGTTCCATCTTAGATGCTAACTCAACCGTTCACTTCTCCCATAATTCACTGTTAGTGCTCACCTAGTTGTGCTTGCGGGGGTTGAGCTTCGGCTCTTTGGTCCCGCCTCTCAACTGTCAATCAACTGGTGTATCAGCTCCTGAGCCTATTGAGGTCTATCATATCTACAATTGAAACTGTGTATGGAGTCAGCGTCCACCACATCACATCCTAATGCAATCAATTTTTTTACTTCTCTAATACTGAAAAACTCCTTTTTAATGTCTCTGTGGCTCATTTGGGCACTCAGTTTCCACTGTGTCTCCTAGAGCGTGTACCATCCGTGTTACATAAACGGTCCTTATCGAACATGTCAAATTTCCCTGCGAATTTTATATGTGGTGATCATGTCTCCCCGACCTCTTTTGTTTTCCAGCGATGTTATGTGCATTTCACTCAGCCTTACCTCGTAACTCATTCCTCTTAGTTCTGGGATTAGTCTAAAGGCATAAAAGGGATTGGTTTCACGAATATGGTATACAAGGTTCTAATTTATTCCTTACACAAATTTATAAAGGCAGTTCTGATGTTAGGCAGCCTCGCATACAGCACTGATGATTATATTTTTTGTGGGTTTAAGGAGACAGGTTTGGTGTGATATCAGCTCCTACATCCTTCTCTCTGTCCGTATCTCTGAGGACGTCTCGGGGGCACGTTGAGCCCTGTAATAATCGCAAGGTAACGGCAAGGCAAGGTAACCACAGGGCAAGGTAACTGCAAGCAAGGTAACTGCAAGCAAGGTAACCGCAAGGCAAGGTAACTGCAAGGCAAGGTAACTGCAAGCAAGGTAACCGCAAGGCAAGGTAACTGCAAGGCAAGGTAACCACAAGGCAAGGTAACTGCAAGCAAGGTAACCGCAAGGCAAGGTAACTGCAAGCAAGGTAACCACAAGGCAAGGTAACTGCAAGCAAGGTAACCACAAGGCAAGGTAACCGCAAGGCAAGGTAACTGCAAGGCAAGGTAACTGCAAGGCAAGGTAACTGCAAGCAAGGTAACCGCAAGGCAAGGTAACTGCAAGGCAAGGTAACTGCAAGCAAGGTAACCGCAAGGCAAGGTAACTGCAAGGCAAGGTAACCATAAGGCAAGGTAACTGCAAGCAAGGTAACTGCAAGGCAAGGTAACTGCAAGCAAGGTAACCGCAAGGCAAGGTAACTGCAAGGCAAGGTAACCACAAGGCAAGGTAACTGCAAGCAAGGTAACAGCAAGGCAAGGTAACTGCAAGGCAAGGTAACCGCAAGGCAAGGTAACTGCAAGGCAAGGTAACCACAAGGCAAGGTAACTGCAAGCAAGGTAACCGCAAGGCAAGGTAACTGCAAGGCAAGGTAACTGCAAGCAAGGTAACCACAAGGCAAGGTAACTGCAAGCAAGGTAACAGCAAGGCAAGGTAACTGCAAGGCAAGGTAACCGCAAGGCAAGGTAACTGCAAGGCAAGGTAACCACAAGGCAAGGTAACTGCAAGGCAAGGTAACCACAAGGCAAGGTAACCACAAGGCAAGGTAACCACAAGGCAAGGTAACTGCGAGCAAGGTAACCGCAAGGAAAGGTAACTGCAAGCAAGGTAACTGCAAGCAAGGTAACCACAAGGCAAGGTAACCACAAGGCAAGGTAACCACAGGGCAAGGTAACTGCAAGGCAAGGTAACTGCAAGCAAGGTAACCGCAAGGCAAGGTAACCACAAGGCAAGGTAACCGCAAGGCAAGGTAACTGCAAGGCAAGGTAACCACAAGGCAAGGTAACTGCAAGCAAGGTAACCGCAAGGCAAGGTAACTGCAAGCAAGGTAACCACAAGGCAAGGTAACCACAAGGCAAGGTAACCACAAGGAAAGGTATCCACAAGGCAAGGTAACTGCAAGGCAAGGTAACTGCAAGGCAAGGTAACTGCAAGCAAGGTAACCGCAAGGCAAGGTACCTGCAAGCAAAGAAACCGCAAGGCAAGGTAACTGCAAGCAAGGTAACCGCAAGGAAAGGTAACTGCAAGCAAGGTAACTGCAAGCAAGGTAACCACAAGGCAAGGTAACCACAAGGCAAGGTAACCACAAGGCAAGGTAACTGCAAGCAAGGTAACCGCAAGGACAGGTAACTGCAAGCAAGGTAACTGCAAGCAAGGTAACCACAAGGCAAGGTAACCACAAGGCAAGGTAACCACAGGGCAAGGTAACTGCAAGCAAGGTAACCGCAAGGAAAGGTAACTGGAAGCAAGGTAACTGCAAGCAAGGTAACCACAAGGCAAGGTAACCACAAGGCAAGGTAATTGCAGCAAGGTAACTGCAAGCAAGGTAACTGCAAGGCAAGGTAACTGCAAGGCAAGGTAACCGCAAGGCAAGGTAACCACAAGGCAAGGTAACTGCAAGCAAGGTAACTGCAAGGCAAGGTAACTGCAAGCAAGGTAACTGCAAGCAAGGTAACAGCAAGCAAGGTAACCGCAAGGCAAGTTAACTGCAAGGCAAGGTAACCGCAAGGCAAGGTAACTGCAAGGCAAGGTAACCGCAAGGCAAGGTAACTGCAAGGCAAGGTAACCGCAAGGCAAGGTAACTGCAAGGCAAGGTAACCGCAAGGCAAGGTAACTGCAAGGCAAGGTAACCGCAAGGCAAGGTAACTGCAAGGCAAGGTAACCGCAAGGCAAGGTAACTGCAAGCAAGGTAACCGCAAGGCAAGGTAACTGCAAGCAAGGTAACCGCAAGGCAAGGTAACCACAAGGCAAGGTAACTGCAAGCAAGGTAACTGCAAGGCAAGGTAACTGCAAGCAAGGTAACCACAGGGCAGGGTAACCACAAGGCAAGGTAACTGCAAGCAAGGTAACTGCAAGCAAGGTAACTGCAAGCAAGGTAACCGCAAGGCAAGGTAACTGCAAGGCAAGGTAACCGCAAGGCAAGGTAACTGCAAGGCAAGGTAACCGCAAGGCAAGGTAACTGCAAGGCAAGGTAACCGCAAGGCAAGGTAACTGCAAGCAAGGTAACCGCAAGGCAAGGTAACTGCAAGCAAGGTAACCGCAAGGCAAGGTAACC